TCCCCCCCCCCCCCCCCCCCCCCCCCCCAGGCTCAGTGCCAAGACTGAAACTGCTGTTGGTCGTATTCAGCGATCAGTTTTTTGATATGGGCCAGTTTGTTGTGGAGATATTCACAGCGGTTCTTCTCCTGGCTGTAATTTGGATTAGTCTGCAAGGGAGAGAAAAAGAAAGAGAACAAGGTTGACTATATTACAGTAGGGAAGGGAGTTTGGCTGGTGGTTAAGGCAGAGGTCCTCAACCTTGGCAACTTTAAGACTTGTGGACTTCAACTCCCAGAATTCCTCAGCCAGTTGCCAAGGTTGAGGACCCCTGGGTTAAGGCACCGGATCAGAAACCAGGAGACTGTGAGTTCTAGTTCTGTCTTATGTTATGAAAGCTGATTGGATGACTTTGGGCCAATCACCAGGAGACTGAGAGTTCTAGTCCTGCGTTAGGCATGAAAGCCAGATGCGTCACTTTCTTCCTCAGCCCACCCTACCCCACTGGCTTATTGCTGTGGGGAAAATAGGAGGAAACAATATTATGTATGTTCGTCACCTTGAGTTACAGATAGTTCTCAACTTACAACTGTAATGGAGTCCGCCCACCCTGATCATAAGTCGTGATGATCGTAACCTGATCATGTGTACAACCCCACTTTATGACCTTATTTTGTGGTGGTCATTAAGCAAACTCACAGTCGTTAAGCAAACCATTGGTTTGGTACGGGTGCAGTTTTGCAGAAAACCAGAAGTGCCAATATTCCAACGAAACCATCATAAAATGGAATCACACCACTCTGGAACACTGCAAATGGTCGTAAATGTGAGCCTATTGCTATGGGCCCAAAGTTCAGCCACATGACCATGCTCCCCCCCACCCCCCAACCTTTGTACTTTCAATTGGGTCATAAGCAGCCCCAAGACAAGTCTGTCTTAACTTCAAATGATTGCTAAGTGACCAGTGGTAAATCAAGGAGTACCTTCAGGATTAAAAAAAAAGAGAGAGAGAGAGAGAGGTAATGCCTTCAGTTAGGATAAAAAAATACCAGGCAAATAATTGCCTGTCCAACTTGAGTTAAGAGTTCTAGAAAACAAAACAGAAGGAAGGAAGGAAAGTGAGCAGATGCTGCCATCTGATAGCAAGAAAAATAAGGGCCGCCTTCTTGCTGGTTTCTGCCATCTGACACACTTCAGCTAGCAAAAGGCAATGCTTACTACGAGTTAAATCATCGTATTAAAAGTAGTAGTTTGTGGGATAGCTGCAATATACCTTTTGTATGCTGTCGAATTCAAACGACAGGCACAAGAATTTGGGATTCCATTTCATTCATCCTACCCCCACCTATAGTCTTTTAAAAAAAGGGATTTTCAAATTTTAAAATTAGCCATTATGGCAGATAACTGTTGCCAGGCTCCATTTCTTACAGCCGGCCTAACTGAAGCATTCTCCCAGATGAGCTAGAGAACAAGATCCGGGAATCAGGTGGCCCTGGCACTGAGGGAGCTGCTATTGTGCAAGGAATCAAGTATAGGAAGGCCAATTTAATCCCTGTTTTCTTAACAGCCAAGCTGCTTCCAATCAAGCCAAGGTTTCCTCAAGTGAGAAAATTAGGATTTAGGATTTTTCATCCCTGGCTCTCTCATCTCAAAATGCGTTTGGTTTTGAACAAGAAGCTCAGTGACCCACCTTTTTAATTTTTCGGTATTCTTGCAAGATCTGATCGTGGATCATCTGCAAAAGAATGACATGCCACGTATTACAATTATTTCTAAAACCTTTTCTGCAGATTTCTTCCTGCAAAGGCCTCTGTGGATTGAAGAGGCTGCCTTAGCTTACAGCCAAGATACTTTTGGTTTCCTCTCTATCTTCTTCAACTGCCCAGAAGGGCCAGCTGCTGATGTTGGCCAACCCTTTGATCTCCCCACCTTGTATTCTTCCGAGCCCTGAGATAGTTGCTTTAGTTCTGAATCCAGCTGCATGAACCGTCGGGTTATCCGCTCAATACGAGCATGGAGGTCGCGATACTCGCCGTACTCCGCGTTGAAATCATTCTTGTAGCTCTGACGTTGCTCCGAGGAAGAGATGGCACCGTATTTTCTGGAGCAGCGATAAGAATGAAAAAATGAAATAAACCCAAAGGAAACAATTACAAGACGTCCTTTCAAGTTACGACTATTAGTGGAACAACCTGCCTCCAGAAGCAGTGAATGCGCCAACACTGGAAGTTTTTAAGAAGAAACTGGACAGCCATTTGTCCGAAATGGTATAGGGTTTCCTGCCTGAGCAGGAGGTTGGACTAGATGACCTCCGAGGTCCCTTCCAACTTTATCATTATTATTACTTTATTATTACTTTACTATTATTATTATTATTATTATTATTATTATTATTACTATTATTATTATTATTATTATTATTACTATTATTATTATTATTATGGTGGTTAAGTCATGACTGTCGTAAATTGGGTCAGTCATGTGACAACTGGGTCTTGTGACTTTTTGTGGTGGTGAAGTGAATGTGGTGAACGTAAAGTAAACCAGTGGTTTGCGATGGGCACAGTTTTATCAAAAACCTGAAATGAGTGCCAGTTAACGTCATAAAATGCAGTCATGTGACTGCAGGATGGTGCAAACGACCATCAACGTGGCTGGAACTGGGTTGTATTTTCCCTTCTCCAGGTAGGTTGTAACTTTGAACTGTCCTAAATGAACGGTTATAAAGTTCGAGGACTACCTGTAGATAGCATTTGCATTTCACCTACTTTTGTAAGCCTAAGCCAGTGGTGGCGAACCTATGGCACGGGTGCCAGAGGCGGCACTCAGAGCCCTCTCTGTGGGCATGCACGCCATGCCCTGGAGATGGCAACCATCCCTCTTCAACCAGCTGCCTGCTAACTTGCCAAGATCCCACATGGCCGGATGTATCCCAGCATCCATGGGCAGGGGCCGATGGTGTCAGGCAGCAGCCGCCCCGGCCCCTAGCTCACCTTGCCCTGAGATAATGGCACCCCCGCCCTGCCTCGCCTCACCCCGCAGCACGAGCCTCCTGCCCACCGCCCCACCTGCCAGAGACCCCCTGGATCTCCCCCAACCCTGCCCGGCCCCCACAGGCATCCCTCCCCACGAGCAACATTGAGGTGATCACGCCCACTTTGGCCACACCCACCCAATCTGCCATGACCACCACAGTCACGTCCACCCAGTGGGCCATGCCCACCTGGCACCTGGCGATAAATAAGTGGGTTTTGGGTTGCAGTTTGGGCACTTGGTCTCTAAAAGGTTCGCCATCACTTGCCTAAGCCTTCCACACCCAGGGTAATGGGATGACCTTTACGGTGATAGTGACCTTCCCCAGCCTGCTACTTTCCCAGAGTATTTGGTCTTAGGGAGCAATGCAGCCCATCCAGAGCCTCACGGTGAGGAAGGCTGGTGTGATATCAGGCCCCAGAAGAACAGTGGAAATAAAGTCTCAAGTGATAAGGGATGATTCTAATGACTAGAAAGTTGTAAGAACTTGACAGTCAATATTACGCTATTGCTAGCCAAACAGATGGTGCAGCTGCATTCAGATGAGCAATATTTCAGGATTAACCAACAAGAAGATTAACAGGCGGCTGAAGACAAACAAAAGGGAAGTATAGCAATTCTTCACCTAATACCGTCTGCTCATAATATTTGCTGCTATGCTGGTGGCCATTAACAGAACAGTTTAATTGAATGTAATAAAAATGTACAGAGGGGCGAGTTGCTCAATGACAAAGAGAGCCAGTTTGGTCTAGTGCAGTGATGGCGAACCTTTTAGAGACCGAGTGCCCAAACTGCAACCCAAAACCCACTTATGCATCGAGTGCCAGGTGGGTGTGGCCCATTGGGTGGGTGTGGCCCATTGGGTGGGCGTGGCTGCGGTGGTAACAGCAGACTGGGTGGGACTAAGAAGTTCAATGAATAAATTCGAACTTTGCAAGATTTTTTTTCCCGCGAGAAGCTGAAATTGACTGATTGAACCTTTTTTTTCTTTTTTTGCACATGGCGGCTGAGGCCTAAAGCGAAAAGGTTTTATAAAACCCAGCTGAGGGCCTAGGACTGGGGCGATGGCGCGCGTGCCCACAGAGAGGGCTCTGAGTGCCGCCTCTGGCACCCGTGCCATAGGTTCGCCACCACTGGTCTAGTGGTTAAGGCGCCAGGCTAGAAAGCAAGAGACTGTGAGTTCAAGTCCCGCCTTAGGCATGAAAGCCAGCTGGGTGACTTTGGGCCAGTCACTCTCTCTCAGCACAACCCACCTCACAAGGTGATTGTAGTGTACATAGGGGGAGGAAGGTGTGCTGTATATGTTCGCCACTTGGAGTTATTTGTAAAAATAATAAAGGCGGGCTATAAACAAACAAACAAAAGGCAAACCAGCCATGAACAATGAACAATAAAACATGCATCTATCTATTGCTGGCACATTGGGCTAGCGCAGGGGTAGGCAACCTTGGCTCTTTTATGACTCGTGGACTTCAACTCCCAGAATTCCTGAGCCAGCATGGCTCAGCTTGGAAACCTCTTCCTTTCCCCTCAGCATGGCTGGCTCAGGAATTCTGGGAGTTGAAGTCCACGAGTCATAAAAGAGCCAAGGTGGCCTACCCCTGCGCTAGCTCCTTTATGAAGGGAAATCCTAAACTGAATTTTATCACCTATACAAGAAGTCCTCAACTTACAACTGAAATTGAGACCAGATTGTCCACCGCTAAGCAAGATGGTTGTTAAGTGAGTTGTGCCTGATTTTATAACTTTTTTTTTTTTGCCACGATTGTTAAGGAAATCATTGTTGGTTAAGTCAATCCTGCAGCTGTTAAGTGCACACTGACTTCCTTCAGTAACGCTGCTTGTGGGAAGCTGACTGCGAAGGTTGCAAATGGTGATTACATGACCCGGGACTTGCAAGGTGTAAACACATGCCCGTTGCCAAGCACCTGAATTTGGACTACGTGTGACTGTGGATATGCTGCAACGGTTGTTAAGTGCAATGCCTGATCGTTCAGTGCTGCTGCAACTTTAAATGGTTGCTAAACTAACGGCTTTAAGTCCGAGACTACCTCTCCCTGCTTCAATAATCATTGGAAGAGATATTTCTGGATTTGTTCAAGCACAGCAGCTCATGGCTTATAATGAAAGCAGCTCTCTTTTTTTCAGGTCTCTGCATGCTGAAAAGTAGTTTTGCAGCTTTAATGAGATGCAAGTGCTCATATAAGTTCTGACGCAACAGCCGCTCTTTTACTGTTCAGTACAACAGCCCCGATCCTTCCACACTTACAGCAAGTAGTCTGGCCTCCCTGATGTAGAAGATGGGACACTGGAGCTGTTGCACGTCCTGTTTAAACCTAGGAGGAGGAGAAAGGGAGAAAGAAAGAGTGTCATGGGACTGTTGACATTCTCAGATCGATGCTCTAAAAATCACCCTCAAAAGCTTTAAAACAGCTTCCCAAGATTTAATGGACATGGTGTGCAAATCTGACAGAAATTCATGAAGATCAGGATTCTCTTTAGGACAGACATGTCAAACACAAGGCCCGGGGGCCGGATGCGACCCATGAAGTGGTTTCACGTGGCCCGTGAAGCCATCCTGGAAACAGTGAGGGAACGGCCCCCGCTGCCTTGGCCCTGGCCCAGGCCGGCCGGGAGCCAATGTACAATTTTGTGGTGGCCATCTATGCTGAAACTCATTCAGTCTTAGCTCCACAAGGCCGTCTGGTAACAGTGAGGAACCAGCCCCTGCCGTGTCCGCCCCGCCCCCTGGGTGCATGCTGGGGAGGTGTCACCCTTTGTGAGGAATGAAGAAATGCACCATTGCCTGGAAGTGGCCAGCAAATGGACCTCGCCTACTTCACATATCTGGCTTGATGGGCTCCGGGGGAAGGGTTTTGGCAGGCAGCGGGGCGCTCTCCTCACAGCGCCAAGAGCTGAGCCGGGTGGCACGAAACTGATAAGTGCAATGCTGCCTAGGCCCCAGCCTGCCCAGTTTCAGCAGGCAGCAAGGTGCAAAGCTGGCGAGCTTTGCACCGCCCGGCTCAACCTCTTGGTGCTGTGAGGAGAGCACCCCGCTGCCTGCTGAAACCACACTCACCCCACCCACACCCACCCAGTAAGCCGCACCCACTCTGACCACACACCCCCCTGAGGGAAACCACAATGCTGATGCGGCCCTCAATGAAATTGAGTTTGACACCCCTGCTTTAGGATAAGCTAAAATAGTACCCCTTGAAAAAAAATATTGTTAAATAAATGTAGATAAAAATGTTTGTGGATCAATAAGAAATATCTGTTCATGCAAGAGTGGGAATCTGACAAAATAGATCTCAGGATGGCTAGCAAGTAGGCTGCTAGACTGGATAGGGCTACTTCTGTATGCCATTCAGGATTATTCAGGGATGTTGTGCAGAAAAAAATAATTCAGCTATCCATGGCTCATGAAAAAGGGGGAAGTTTAGTATCAGTACTGCCTTGAACGCGGATGTCCAACATTGGCAGCTTTTAAGACATGTGGATTTCACTTCCCAGAATTCCCCCGTTAGCTAAACTGGCTCAAGAATTCTAGGAGTTGAACTCCACAACTCTTAAAAGTTGCCAAGGTTGGACACCTCTGAGTGAACATTCCTGAGTGAACATTCACTCTAAATTCCATTTTTGGTTCAGATATGGACAAAAAAAAAAAAGGATCAGAAAGGCTGATTACCACTCCAGGCTGTAGTTTGCAATAGTTTAAAATACCAAGGCTTTACATTTATTCCATTCGTTCCTGGAGCACAGGAGATCCTAGGCTTTATCACATTTGGTAGAATAACTCAGCAGTAATTGTTATCCCTGGAGGAATCAGAAGCTGTTATGAAGCCTCTGATTCAACTAGATATGCCACTCCAGTATAAAGCAACTTCCTATTATCACAATTAAATATAAAAACTAGTAGTTAGCACTATTTCTAATGCTGATTGTCTCTTATGGATCCAAAGTGAGGCTGGTCCATAAAAACATGGTCACTTTTAGGAATTGGAGATTTAAGACTGGAAGGTGATTTGGTTATAGACTTTATAAAAGGCCAATTGAACAAGATTAGTCCATGCTACAACGATGGATATCCATGTATGGGAAAATGGAGCTTAAAATAAAAAGTAAACAATTCTTCTATTCCATCTGAGGTCTATTGCAAAGTTGTTAAATGAGATTTTTCAACAGGATTTTCAACAACTCTCTGCTTACTCCCTCCTAATGAGCCTATTCAGATTAGGTAAGAAATAAAATCACCCTGGGGGACTTTGATGGGTTCCCTTAACAAACTTAAATCAAACTGAAGAAGCTACTTGGATAAGCAGGAAAATGTTTCAAATGAAAAAAGAAAAGAAGTCCCATTACCACACTTCAACTTCCAGACAATTCTACCTGGATGACTGAGAATCTTCATCCACATCAGGATTCAAGCCTCTTTCCCTTCCTTGCACTTTTTGTGGTATTCACAGTTTGAAAACGCTAGCCACTCAACTTGAGTGTTTGTCCATTTTGCAACTTTTAGATTGCTTCAGATTAAAAAGGAACAAAGCTACTGCAGTTGCTTAGGAGGATGTAAAAGAGAATCTGGATTGCAATTCCTCACTTCCCACGCCATCAAAGAGTGACTTTGGAGGGTCAAAATGCACCGGATAGGTTAAAATGCTTATGTTGACAACAGCACAACCACCAGCCTTCTGTGTGTTGGACTTTTAAGCCAAAGGCCAACAAAATGAAGCAGCTTACGAGGCAGGAGGACTAATATAACACAATCACAAATTCCTATTCTGTGTGGAGTCTACAAGAATGATCACAAAAGAAACTGCCTTCCATTGGCCAGCCAACTGATTTATCTACCTCTGTCTCATCTCTGCAGGTTTGCAGCAGCTTTTCAATGTCTAGAGAAGCATATTTCTCACTAGCTGTTCCTTGTTCCTTTTATTTGTGGTATCATGGACTGAACAAGGAATGATTTATATTCAAACCAAGATCACTGCCACCCAGCAATTATACTTTTACGAGCCAATACTCCCATTGTCTCCCTCTGTATATTTGCTTAGGTTTGCACCCAAAGGATGCAGGTATCATATATCTGTAGATACACAGGTATCATATATCTATATTGTTGAGACACCCTGCCTACTAAAACTAAACACCCTGAAACTAAACATGTCTTTTCTTGGGATTGCACAGCTGCTGCCTGATCACAGAGGGAGATGCAGCTGTGTTAAAGAGCTGTAGACAGATGCCACAGAAGCTGTCCCAGGTGTTACGAAGTCTCTTGTCGCCTCTGAATCTGAGACACCGCCAAATCCATCAGTTCCCTTACTGGGTCCCATCCTCACCTGCGCTGTCTTGTGAGGGGCTCATTTTGGAGCCACCCTTCTTTAGTTCACAGTTTGGCTTCTCGTGGACCTGTTGCTGCTCCTCCTTCCTTTCTCGTTCCTTATGTTTCTTCTTCCTGGATTTTGAGTGCGGAACACAATTGTGTTTGCTCGTCTGGGCTGGGGCTGCGGCCGACCGGCTTGCTGTCCGCCTTTCGGCCGGCTCTGCCATCTCAAAGTCTTTGCCGTTATGGTTTAGATCATTGCTAACATCAGCAAGTGGGTCGTGAGGCCTAGGTAGCTCCAGAGTGGGCAAAAGAGAGCTAGAGCTGACTGAATCAGCCGCCACCATGGTGGGCAAAGAGGTCTCCTTCCCATTGGCAGAGCTGAGTTTGCCGTTGAAAGTGGGCTGAGTCCTTTGGGCACAGTGAGAGATCCTTGGCTTTTTGTTGGCGAGGGGGTCAATAAAGTCCAGGGGTCGCTTCTAAGGAAAGGAAATAGAAACAAGATTAACAATGAAAGCAATGTTTTAAAAGCATACAAATGAAGAACTGGACTTATCCGAGAATAAAAAAATATCTATTGCCACTAGGGGGCAATACAAGGCCACGTTTGTGTTCATTTTGGCATTTACTGATTTTTTTTCCCTAAAAGAAAAAAAAAAACCAAGTGCCAATAATATTGCTATTCTGGTGTTATAGTGCTTTCCCCCTGTTCACAGATTTCTCCTGCCCAAGCGGTGCCTCCCTGACATTTTACAGATGTTTCTTCCTTTGGCATTTGGGCAGGTTTGTAACATATGGACTATTCAGCATATATTTTTGTGTACATGTGTTCAAAGCAGTGTTTTTCAAACTTGGCAACTTTTTAAGATGTGTGGACTTCAACTTCCAGAATTCTGGGACCTGAAGGCTACTTATCTTAAAAGTTGGCATGTTTGAAAAACACTGGTCCAAAGATAAACTGGACATAAATTTAAAACAGGGAAGTTGAAACAGAAACTAGAACTGAAGAAGCTTCTTGGAAAAAAAGCAAAACATTTTCGAGGAAAAAAATACCCCAGAAAGTCCAGTTGCCTTTTTGGAAAGCCCCTCTGGGACAACCATGACTGGCTGATGAGAATCTCCACAGACAACCGGGGAAGTTGAAAGCTACACTTTCCTAGATGAAAGTACCCATTCCTTTAGCCATGCCCTACTAGCCCAGGGGTAGGCAACCTTGGCTCTTTTATGACTTGTGGACTTCAACTCCCAGAATTCCTGAGCCAGCCATGCTGAGGGGAAAGGGAAAGGTTTCCACACTGAGCCATGCTGGCTCAGGAATTCTGGGAGTTGAAGTCCAGGAGTCATAAAAGAGCCAAGGTTGCCTACCCCTGTACTAGCCTGACCACAACAGCTTTCAGTGTCAGTCACGGAGCCTGGGAATGGGGTTTTTTTGGGGTGGGGGAAGATCATCCTCCACCACCAATCTCTTCCTGCAAAGAAGCAGCAAGAAATCTCATGGAACATGCAGGCAAAGCCTTTGATTCAACTCTTGATGTCAGAAAGGGTGGAGTAGCTTGTTTGTTGAGGAAGGTGACAGCCTTATTTTATTTTTTTGGGGAAAAAAATATTGATTATTGATTTTCTAATTTCTAAAAGCAACGTGGTGGCTGAGTTGGTCAATAATCCAATAACATACAAATATCTTTAGTACAGATCTCAAACTATTACATTAAATGTTTCTTTTCCCCTTGTTGCGTATTTAAATTAATACAATTCTTCTTATATCGATTAAATAAAAATAACTTTCTTACATTTATCAATAATTTTTGTTTATACATTTTTGTTTTAACATTCAATCTTTTTTAGACAATCAACGCCCTGGTTAGTTTTCCCCAATTTTTAGTTTCCCATTAATATTTAAATTTAACGTTTAGTATTTATAATTTCCAAGTTTTAAATAATTCCAATCCCCTTTATCACAATTCATCACAAGACCTAATATATGGGATACACATCTTATCTATTTGAATTCTCACCATCTTACATCAACCAATTAATAATACAATATAATATTCTTATTTTCTGATAATTTCCAAATATCTTAAATTTAGTAACCAAAATTTCTCTTATTTCAACATTTAATCCTTCCTCTCTTCTTCTCTTAATATCTACTATCTCATATTTAAGCTAATTTAATCTCATATTTAAACTAATTTTTATTGCCGCTAAATAAGAACATATTTATTACATTCATCGATAAATTTTTAGCTTATGTATATATCGTGATTACCTTTACAATTAACCTTTATAAGCCTTATTTCCCACCAAGGAGGGAGGGGCCAGCTCCCCTGCAGCCTCCAGGCTGGAGAGGAAACGGGAACTCACCTGTGGGCAGCCACAAATCATGAAGGAAGCAGAGTTATGAAGGCCTGCTTACAAACCATCTTCTGACAGTATGGGAGGTGAGAGGAAGGCAGATATGTGGTAACAGTTGCAGCACACCAAGCCCAGCCAGCATGGGCTTGGAAAGCCCCTTTGCACAACTGCCGTCTCCGAGTGAAACTTTTCACTAGACCAGTGGTGGCGAACCTATGGCACGGGTGCCAGAGGCGGCACTCGGAGCCCTCTCTGTGGGCACACGTGCTGTTGCCCCAGCCTCGCCTCCCACCACGACCCCCTCCTTTCCAGCAGCCCCCCTGAAGGAGAGTCGCCCCCGAGCATGGCCCACACGGAGCAGCGCAGCCAAGGACATGGCAGCCAGGCAGCGTAGACAAGACTCTGTCCTCACGCCCCATCATGCAGTTGATGCTGCAGGGCGCGGGCAGAGGGTGTGACCACCGTAGTGCTGCTGGGCTGCCTGGGCGATCTGCGGTGGGCCCTGGAGGCGGTGAGTGGTCTTGTGGGCAAGTGGGGTGGGGGATGAGGGGGCAGAGCGGGGGCGGGGCAGGGGCCAGTTTTGGGGCACTCGGTCTCTAAAAGGTTCGCCATCACTGCACTAGAACAAGGGCGTGCGTTTTTTAAGACCACAGCAAGGCCTTCAACTGCATTTGTGTATGCACTAAACCCTGGAACTGCCTGATCAATCTGAAAAGGTACCTCAGCCTTGTATCCTGGATGATATGTAAGCCGTGAGAGTTTCCCACTTACCTGGGGAGGGGAGGAGGAAACGTTTGCGGTGTCCCTTGGGGGGCTGGGAGCAGAATTCTCAGGGACGCAGCTGGGATTCTGTGGTGGGCAGAGTTTCCTGGAAAAAGAACAGCCCAGCATTGGCTCTCAAGGAAAGCATCAACGACCGAAGCCACTGAGCCAGGAGCAAGTTAAAACATTCTGGATCAAAGTGCCAAATGTTGTTTTTTTAAAAACCTCCATTTAATGGTGGAAGGCATTTACTACATACGTATGACCAAAACTCTTTCGTGTTTGCCTTTTTTGTCCCCTCGGTTTAGTCCAAACAATACATTATACCACAGCAATTTATTTTTTTTTAAATTTATTAATTTTTTCAAATGAACATATGAACAAATAATACAAATATGGTGCATTTCATTAGAAAAACAAACACATAAAAAGCCTACTCATTCACCACAGCAATTTTTGACTCGAGCAACCTAAAACTTAAAGAATGAGTAAAAATCCACGACTCACTACTCCTGTGGTTTTGATATTTCCACGATGTTCGGTTTTATTCGCAAAGTGGTGTGGGCACTGCAGCATCCATCCCCACGATTGTGAGCATCCATCCCCACAGTCGTGATTTCTGATGCTCCTTGCCACCTTCCCACAAAGCCAGTGGGGAAGCTGGCAGGAAGTTGAAACTTACTCCCATTCCCACTGCTTTTTTGCCTGTCTGAGGTCATTCTGTTTATCAGCTTAAGTAAGTAAATACTGGCTTATTATTGAATAAGTTCATTTGCCACTACAATTATTTTTCTATTTATGATATATGAATTATGATGATTACTTGGTTATGATGATTATTATTACTTTGTTGTTTTGCATATACACTGAGAGCTTATGCACCGGAAACAAATTCCTTCTGTGTCTAATCACACTTTGCCATTATAGCGTAGTTATAGTGTGAAGTGTATAGTAGTGTAGCGTAGCATGTATTGTATTGTACAGGTAGTTCTCAATTTACGAACACAATTGAGCCCAAAATTTATGTCACTAAGTGAGAAATTTGTTAAGTGAGTTTTGCCCCATTTTACGACTTTTCTCACCCCATTTGTTAAGTGAATCACTGCAGTTCTTAAATTACTAACAGGGTTGTTAAGTGAATCTGGTTTCCCCATTGACTTGCTTGTCAGAAGGTCGCAAAAGGAGATCACGTAACTCTGGGGACGCTGCAACCGTCATAAATGTGAGTCAGTTGTCAAGCATCCAAACATAAATCATGTATTCATGGGGATGCTGCAATGGTCATAAGTGTGAAAAATGGTCATAAGTTACTTTTTTCACTGCCGTTGCAACTTTCATCACTAAGTGAAGTGTTGTAAGTCAAGGACTACCTGTATTATATCGTACTGCACTCCTATTCCTATTCTTGTTCCATTCAATCAGAATAGAGCTGGAAAAGACCTTGGAGGTCTTCTAGTCCAACCCCCTGCTCAAGCAGGAGACTCTATACCAAGGGTAGGCAACCTTGGCTCTTTTTAATGACTCGTGGACTTCAACTCCCAGAATTCCTGAGCCAGCCATGCTGAGGGGAAAGAGAGAGGTTTCCAAGCTGAGCCATGCTGGCTCAGGAATTCTGGGAGTTGAAGTCCACAAGTCATAAAAGAGCCAAGGTTGCCCACCCCTGACCTAGACCATTTCAGACAGGTGGCTGTCCATTCTCTTCTTAAAAACCTCCAGTGATGAAGCACCCACAACTTCTGATGACAAGCTGTTCCACTGGTTAATTGTCCTCACTGTTAGGAAGTTCTAACTTCTTAATTAATACAGACCTTTTAAATTCTATAAACTCTTCTTTGATCTCATGGAATCATCCCGCCTTGGAATAAAAAAAAAAAAATACAGCCAGCCTAACTTTAGTGTTTATTCTGACCACATCAGACTTTACTACCTTTCTCTCAAAGGGTGACCCATTCAAGGGTTCTCTAGTGAAGATTACATTTTAGGCTGACCATATTTTTTTTTTACTCCAATGCTGGATGGTTTTTCCTGACCAGAAAGCCAGCAAAGGCCATTCATTTTGTAGGATAGGAAGGCTTATTCAGCAACTGCAAACAAAGGCAAAGGTAAGTGTTCACCTGGCCAGGCTCTGGGAGTTCCCCACTCCTTGTGTTGTGCAAGGATGTGTGCCGGTGTGCGTGCGTGCATGCACAGGAAACAGACAGGACTCGCACAAATGCTGCTCTTCCTCGACGCGAATTAAGCAAGAGATGGCTCAATTTCCCCCATGTGTCGTGTCTTCTGTTTCTATTGCCATGTTTTTCATCTGATTCACACACACACGCGCACACACACGCGCGCACACACACACACACACACACACACACACAATTTTCTTTTTTTTTGCTAAGGCAAACAAGAACTCTCTTTCCTTTTTCCTGTCCTGTTTGAACAGTTTCCACAGTTCGTAAACCCAGCTGGCTCGGAGGAGAGACGCTGTTGGTTTAGCAAGAATCTGAACGTCCAGGAGTTTTCTTTGGCAAATGAGGGGAACTGATGGGCACTGAAACCCAACTACTGAATTATAATTAAATGGAAAATTACAAACTATACACAGACTGCACAGAATCAGGGCATGGGCTGGAGCAGTTGTATCAACTCAAGTCCCTCCAGAGGAAAAGGAGGTGGCGACTTTTATGCCCCTTCCTTCTCCTATTTATTTTTTTGGCCTGTGGATAAGCAGTAACCTAAAAATAGAGTGTGGAACGGATGGAGCCGCCTGGGCAAACAAAAACGAACCAAAAGAAGCCCAGAAGGCGACAAAGTATATTCCAGTTATTACAATATAATTCTGTGTCTTGTCCCAAGAAAAGCAAAGGGACAAGTTTTGCAAACTGGCTCTGAACTTCTCTTATTCTGTTCTTGATCCATTTTGCTTGCCTCTTAAGAATAATGGGCTGTAATTCCCCCATTCTCCAAAACTGAAAATCACGACTGATTACTTCCAAGGATCCTGCAATTTCATGCAGATTTTAGCCATAGATTTCTAAGCTTATTTTCCCAGGCATCTAGAGCAGTCTTTCTCAACCAGTTGCCGAGCTTGAGAAATATTGATCTAGAGCACAATGAAGATGACTGAGGAATAAGGAATGTTGTGGAACAATTCCTAGAATTCTTAAGTCGGCGCGATCTGTTAAGGGATACTTGGAAATACAATTTAACAACAGATTATTGGGCTTAATCTCTGTCAATCTCAATTCTGGGCTATTACAAATTCAAACTGAGGTTTTAAAGTGGCATTTCTCAACCCTGGCATGTTGAGGATTTGTGAATTTCAATTCCCAGCACGCTGGTTAGGGCAGGGGGGGTAGGCAACCTTGGCTCTTTTATGACTCGTGGACTTCAACTCCCAGAATTCCTGAGCCAGCCATGCTGAGGGGAAAGGGAGAGGTTTCCAAGCTGAGCCATGCTGGCTCAGGAATTCTGGGAGTTGAAGTCCACGAGTCATAAAAGAGCCAAGGCTGCCTACCCTTGGGTTAGGGAACTCCAGCAGTTCAAATCCACACATCTTCAAGCTAGAGAAACACACTGTTCTAAAGTCTTACAGGTAGTCCTTGATGTACGACTGTAACTGAGCCTAGAATTTATGATAGCAAGTCATGCTTTTTAAGTGGGATCACCACATGACCGTGCCCCATTTTGCAGTGGTCATTAAGCAAACACAGTGGTCATTAAGTGAATCCGTTTTCCAATGGGCATTTTTTTTGCCAGAAGTCAGAGACAGACACCAGAAAAGGGCAAAAAAACCAAACAATTATGGTCTCATGATCGCAGGATGCTGCAAACAGCCGTAAATGTGAGTCGGTTGCCAAACACCCGAAATGTGATCATGTGATTGCAGGAATGTGTGTGCATGTGGCCATCAGAACTTCAAAAATGGGTAAGTACCTTTTTTTTGGGGGGGGGGGGGTCTGTCATAACTTTGAACGGTTGCTAAGTGGCCAGTCTTAAGTCGAGGACTACCTATACATGTTATATTCCACCGGAAAGCAATCTGCAGTTCCCAGGAAGGCCAAATATACTTTTAGTTGGGATGGGAAAATCTGTGCATTTCCGGACATTGTAGAACTTTAGGCCACTCAGAGGCCTCAAGGAGCGAGACACAAAAGCAGCTCAAGCCAGCATGGCCAGACGAGAGTGATGTCTGGAGTTACCATCTCACAACTCCATGAAAAACAACGGCAAGAGTTAAGGACACAGCAAACCCTGGCCTTTGTGACTTCCGCTCTCTTAAAATGGTTGCTCCCCTCAAGAACATGCTTCCCTTGCAATCCCTAAAAGCAACTTGTCAAAAGATGGCCGGAGTGGAGGCACTAATAGGTTGCGCCAGCGTGAACCATCGCTGGTCTGATCCGAGAACAGAAGGGAGCTACCCTAAGATGCTAACTTTGAAAGGGAAAAATATTTGTCATTTTTGTCATGTTGATGGGGAGTCTCCAAAAGGAGACCTCGGTCTTCCTTCTACCTGTAATTGCCAGAGAATATTCTCCAAAAGCAGATTCCGAGACAAAAAACAAAAACAAAAAACAAATGAGGAAACTTATTAATGACCAAGGTGGCGAAAGGAAGTAGCCTGTTAGTGACCACTGGATCAATATTATACTTCTTGATTCTGCTCAGCCAGTAAAATCAAGCAGGGTGTGTATATGCTGGATCCTATTGACCAAAGAGTGTCATCTTACGGGATCCAGGAAGTGTCTGTTCTGTTGCAGTGCCTGCACTCCAGGCATGTAGATCCATGCAGCTCCCGCCCTTATGATGTCCAGGAAAGTACTAAAAATCTAGTTGTTCTCCTCAGCCTTGGAACTAGATCAGGGGTAGTCAACCTTGGCTCTTTTATGACTCGTGGACTTCAACTCCCAGAATTCCTGAGCCAGCACAGCTGGCTCAGGATTTCTGGGAGTTGAAGTCCACGAGTCATAAAAGAGCCAAGGTTGACTACCCCTGAACTAGATGATTGTGCAGCCTCTATTTAAGGTTTGGCTTATGGATGGGCTGTTTTGCTCCTCCGATTGGCTGTGATCTCTTTTTATAAGCATTGCTTTTCTTTTAATCTATAAGACCAACTCAAGAGTCTTCAAGGAATGAGACACAAACCAATAAGCCAATGGACAAATAAATAAATTGAGGTAACAGTTAAAACACGTTCACGGATTCTGAAAGAGACCCCGGAGCGCCTACCGGAAGAGGATCCTCTTCAGCAGCTGTTGGTCTCCCTCTGAGTAGCCGGGCCAGTCCTTCTGCACCTCTTTGTAAAGATAATCTTTCAGGGTGCATGTGCTGTCTTTGGCGTTCACGTTTGCAACCTGTGGGACGGGTCAGAGGGAGAAGGAGCTTAAATATGCTGGATGGAAGCCAGAGGGACCAAGTATAATTGCAGCCCTCTAAAAGCATCAGACAAGGACTTAATTGCACCAGGGCGGCATGAAAAACCACACATCTGTGGGGTCCTTTTGGGTTTTGCCAAACCATCCGTTAAGAGCAGGATTCAGCATTTTTTTTTTTTAAAAAAAGGCTTGTCTTATGAGCCTGAAAAGGTTCTAGCTCTCATGAATGTGGAACAAAAAGCTTCACAGTCTAACTCTGCACTTCTTGGCTGCCTGGAGAAAGAAGACAAGATTTTAAGAACTTGAACAACAAGATTACAATTCTGAGGGAAATCCCTCTGTAATTTGTTCTGCTCCTTGAGTGATCTGTTACTGAGAGGAGAGAATGAATGTGCACCTTGGTACGAGCAAAGAAGCCAGGTAAGAGCAGCATAGAAGGACTGCTCAGAGCTATAAATATAGTCTTCTCCCACTTCTCCTGATTACATGTAGTCCTCAAGATATTACTGTAATGGAACCTGCCCATTATGGTCATAAAATGAGTCAATCATGTGGCTGACCCAATTTTACTACCTTTTTTTGTGGCAGTCGTAAAAAGAATGCCACGGTTAAGCAAGCACCATTGTTCGCTATGGTGCAATTTTACCCAAAAACTGGAAGTGCCAGAAAAAATCATTGCAAAACATGGTCATGCCCATCATAACTCTGAACAGTGGCTAAGTGACTAGTCATAAGTTGAGTAAGTTACCTGTACAGTACACTCTTTCTTATATTTTCTAAAACATCACTCATCTAATACGTTATTAAGCATCTAACAACAACCAACGATGAGCAAGAATGAGGCAGTGGCCTTTCCCTACTCTGCAGCTTCTGCATGGGGATGCTTCATTTAGATCAGGGGTGTCCAGCCTTGGCAACTTTAAGATTTGTGGACTTCAACTCTCAGACAGAATTCTGGGAGCTGAAGTCCACAGGTCTTAAAAGTTACTGAAGCTGGACTAAATTATGAAGATAATTTAGTGAACAACCTCTGGTTGTCCTCAATGAAAATTACTCCATTTCTTCCACAGCTGACCCACAGGTGCACGTAGGCGTTTTATAACAATATCTGAAATATCAATTTACCTGCTGCAAGAGGCTGTCCAAGGAATCCTTATCTTGCAGACAAAGGCCATCCTTTTGCAACCTAAGGAGGAGTTCTGGTTTCTTATAAGGCTTGAGAGCCAGCAAGTGCATCACCCGATCTTTGAAAGGCCTCTGGGAGACGGCACTATTGCCCTTCCTGATGGCATTGGCGAGGTTGACAGGTGTTGGGCGTATCCGTGAGGGAACAGTGTCGGAACCCCCTGGTGCAGGCTTACGCATCTTAACGGTCTTTCCTATGGATTGGGGAAATTGGGGAAAAGAAGAGAACACAGGAAGCTTGGAGCTGTTTTATTCTTTTCAGACAAAGTCAGCCTGGAATTAATATTCATACAGCCTATAAAAACACTTAGCATACTCAACAAAGCACACTTATTGACATCTAAGTTACTTCTGCAGTTTCTGAGTTTGTGATTCTTTCTTTGAATAAGAAACGGGCAGCGCTGGGTCAACCAGAATGGTGATGAAGCAAAAAAATGCAGATGTATAACTATCGCAATGTGAGGATTCGCTACAAAGATAGGACTTTATGAGTCATAACCACTTGTTTTATCTCTTGAAGAGGATCAGGAACCAATGAAGCTGTTGTAACAAGAGAGTCACATCCTCTGTCTAAGTGGCCTGGTTTCAAGTCAGCTGAAGTTTCTGAACAATGTCAAAGGTAGTTCTCCTTAAAAGCATATATTATGCTGTTGTGGCTAATGCGGATGTCACTGTGGCTATGAACCCTTTTCAAAAACTCCTCATGCCAACTTAGGGATTCCCTGTATTACTAAATACTTCCACAGAGTTCAGCTATCTGTTATGAATGCTTTAATTCTGATTTCTACACACAGCAGGAACATCAGCTCAGCAGCCAGATTGTTCCTTTCATCTCCTAAATGGCAGCTGGTCCAATTCAGCCACTGGCATATATGCAGCCTCTCTGTTTGTAATAATCTATTCACACTTATTCTTTTTCTGATTGTAGTAAATAGTGTAGTCTATTCTTCAAGTTCTTGCGGGTAAGTCCTCACTTTACAAAGCCCGCTTTAAGCTTTTTTTTTCCTCCGTTAGGCAATGCTGCTGTGATGCAGGACGCTAACCCTAGCTTTTTCCAACCTGCAGCTTTTTAGATAGGCTAGATTGCAGTCCCCCAAAGCAGCTGCAAAGACTTCTGGTCTCAAAGTATCACAAAATCCTGAAGCTGGAAGGGGCCACTTAATTCGAAACAGGAATCCAAACTGTAACTTCTTAAGATAGATACCTGTCCAATCTCCATCAGAACAGAGCCAATTAAGGGGAGCCTACGGCCTCTGAACTTTTTTCTCTCTCTCTCTCTCTCTGTGCATGTCTTTGAGTCAGGGCTAACACCTGGTGACTGTCTGGACAAAACCCTGTAGTTTTCTTGCCAAGATTTTGGAAGTGGTTTGCCATTGCCTCTTTCTTAGGGCTGAAAGTGTTATGACTGGCCCAAGGTCACCCAGCTGGCTTTGTACCTAAGATGAGACTAGAACTCACAGACTCACGGTTTCTAATCTGGTGATTCAGCTGCTACACCAAACTGGCTCTCGT